AGAGAGCTGCACCTTTGGAAAGAGTCTTGTACCAGCAAGGAGTAGAAAGGCACCTTCTGCACTAACCAGCCAATTAATCCTGAGGTACTGTGGGAACTCACCTATTTTCCAAGAGAACTGTGGAACTAACAAGACTGTGGCAGAATAGTTGGATATGCAGCCTTCTCAGAAATTTCACCCGAAGTGCAAGTCATAGCAAATGTAGGGTTCCCTCTCCTGGAAAAGCACCTGAGAAAGCCCCCCCAAATCCCATAAGACTAATGGAATTTTTAAATGTTGTTGTTGTTGTTGTTGTTGTTGTTGTTGTTGTTGTTAATGTCTGCACTCTTTAATCATATTTTGCTTCAGGTAAAATTAGGAACTCAGTTTGGAGGTTTCTCTCTCAGGCAAAAAACCTAGGTTAATTTTTGGAAGTTCCTAATATGTTATTGTGAACCATCCTTGCAATGTGTTTGTAGAGTAGGGTTACTCATCTTAAAAGGGGGGAAAGTCTGAGCAGTAGAGAGCTTTTAGTGTGACGAAAAGCATTCCCAGAGGAAATTCACGCAAACCCTAGTTGGAACTTCAGACTGATGGTCTATCTAGTGCAGCATCCCTTCTACTGACAGAAATCACTCACGATCCTCTGGGAAATTCACAAAGAGGGCATGTCAAACACATCCAGGATCAATGTTGTCGCCATCTAACACCACCACCAATTGACTGGAGTCCAGAGAGAATTCTCATATCCCATCCCAGGTCAAAATCATGGCTACTTCCTTGGCTCCTTGAGGTCCCATGGCTGCTGTCAACCAGTCTTCATCTGAAGTTTGGGAATTCAAAAATAAGAATGTTGCAAGCACCAAGGGAAAGACAGAGTGGGCATAGGATTCAACTTCAGTGTCTTTTGACCCAACATTCCCTGGGGGCACAAAGCATGAGAAACACCCAGAAAACATTCTACTGGGATCTCCCCAAGGGGCCAGATTGCTATCATTGTCAGATTCTAAGAACTATGCTACAGACATTGAAGTCTGGCCAAACCTATGGAAGCCAATGCTAACATAACTGGGTGAGGGACTTTTCACTGTGAAGGCCTTTCCTAGAGAGGCTAGAGATATACCCCCTTCTCTATTTAAAGCTGCTTTCACTAACTGAGTGCATAGCTGGATTACAACTGCATAGCTGTAATTGGACTTATCATCTGACAAGGTTCCCAGATTCCTGCTCCCATCATTTATTTATTTTTTTAAATCACAATTATACAAAATACAAAACTGTGGACTAAGTGGATCCTGACTAAGTGGCTCTATTGGGTTCTAGAACTGCTTTTGGCTTGTGGCTTCAGATTGCAGTGTCGCGCTGCCACCATGGGCACTCTCAACCGCTTCCCCCCTTGCCTTTTGGCAGTGTTTATTTTGGGGGGGGTGGCAGGAGAATTGCACCTCCGCTGGTCCCCCCGACAACCCGCTGTCCCTCGTGAGGCTTTCTGGTGTGTGTGTGTGCCTTGTCCTGGCACTCTCCCCTCTTTCCCTGCAAGCTCCGGAGGCAATAGCTTTTTTCAGCGCAATCAGATCCGCACCATCATTTCTGCACAGCAGTCAATTTTCTTTGTTTTTAATGCCACTCCACAATGCACAGTTTCCTGTTACTCCTGCTTTTAGTGTGTCATTACACTTTTTCAATATATAATCCTAAAGGCCAGTGGGGATGAAGCTGAGGGCAGTTTCTTTGCTTCATCCAGAACCCTTCCAGACGCTAGGTGCCCCTTCCTTCCCTCAGTAAGCATTTCCTTCCCATTGTTCCCAGTGGGAGAGAACTCACTATGCCAGCTCCTCTGGGTGGCAGGGGGACTGGGACAGCAATGCCTTCAATGACATGGCCCCTTTTCCAATGTCAGTAGAGGAAGGGCTGCAAATGTATCCTTGGTGGTGGGGAGAAGGCATCCAATGCTGGATTGCCCACTCTCTCCACCCAGAACCCTAAACATGTGAAGAGCCTGTTGGATCAGGCCAGTGGCCCACCTAATCCACCATCCTGTTCTCACAGTGAACAACCAGATGCCTCTTCTGGAAAGCCCACAAGCATGACCCGAGCACATGTGCACCCCTGCTCCTGTGGTTTCCAGCAGCTGGTATTCAGAAGTATTCCTGCCTCCAGCTGTGCAGGCGCAGAACTGTCATCACGGTGAGTAGCCACTGATAACCTTTTTCCTCCATGAATTTGTCCTATCCTCTTTTGAAGTCATCCAAGTTGCTGGCCATCACTGCCAACTGTGGAAGTGAGCTCCATAGTTTAACTATGCACTGCACGAACAATGACTTTCTATCTGTCCTGAATCCTCTAATATTCATGTTAATTGGATGTCCACAAGTTCTGGCATTATGAGAGAGGAAGAAAACTTTTTTCTCTGTCCACCTTCTCCATGCTATGGTATAATCTTATAAACTTCTATCATGCTACCCCCTTTCTTGTATTTTCTCTAAACTAAAAAGTCCCAAATGCTCCAACCTTTCCTCATAAGGGAGTCACCACATCTCCTTAATCATTCTGGTTGCCTTTTCTGAACCTTTTCCAACTCTGCAATATCCGTTTTCAGGTAAGATGTATGCAGTATTCCAAATATGGTTGCTCTATAAATTTGTATAATGTCATTATGATACTGGCAGCTTTTCAATTCCTTTCCCAATGATCCCCAGCCCTGGAAATGTTTCCCATACCCCACTGGATTATCTGGTGTTTCCTATGGTCCCAGGGACCATAGGATTTCAGGGTTCACATCTGCAGTCTAAACCACTTTGAGACTCTTGTCATCTGGAGAGCAGGATAACAGGTATATTAAAAACAAATATATAAATGAGCATCAGATGTACCTTCTCCCCCTCCCTCCCTCCCTCCCTCCCTCCCTCCCTGCCTCCCATCCCCTATTTCCTTTTAATCCTTCATCTTCCTTTCTTCCATTCCCACATTTTCCTTCCTTCCACTCTCATTCAGCCTCCTAAGATACTGCAGTAAGGAACCATATATGGTATATCCTTGACAGCTTTCCCTGTCCTACAACACTCCCAGATGGAGTCAGCAGTGGTCTCTTGTGAGATCATTTGGCTGGTATCACAAAGGAATGTGCCAGGATGTTAATTCCCATTGTCAGCCCTCCTTTACACACACTGGAGACAGACGGCTGCTTTGCTAAGAACACCATACCCTGGAACCGGAGATCAAGTAACAGTGGGAAAGAGGGATGTGGAAAAAATTCAAGCTGAGGAAGACAGTAACTCAATGGCACAGTGATCCTATGATCCTTCCTATATTTCATAGATCAGTGGTAGAACACCTGCTTTGAATGCAGAAGGTCCCAGGTACACCCAATGGAGATTGCTGCCTGAAACTCTGGAGAGCTGCTACCAGTCAGTGTAGAGAATGCTGACCCAGATGGATTAATGATGGTTTTTATAAACAAGCAAACAACTTTGCACCCACAACACTTTGCCACCCGACAAAGGATTGACCAAAAAGCATGCACTGATTGTTGAAATGAATCAGCACGCCCAGTCCAAAACCTTTGCAGGTGCAAACTATTAAAAGTGAGATTGTGTATAACTGGCCCAGCAACATCCTGAGCACAAATTGTTATAAATATACAACAGAAAGGCTGTCTGGAGGGGTCAACACTCATGCACACAAGGTGCAGAAAGTCTGAAGAAATGTATGCAAAGTGATCGTCATATTCTGGGGCATGGCAGGAGTGAGGAACGAGCAAAAGAAAGCATTCGGGGATTTTCTCAGGAAAACATATTCTGAGAAATTTGGGCACAGTTCTGTAAAAATCACCCAATGAAGCAGCCTGCAGTGCTCCTTTGGTCACCTGCACTGGCTCATTATAGCTGGGGAAACTATACTCAGTAGGCAGCTAACTAGCTCTCCTCCTTGCTGCTGCAAACAGAGAAGAATTGACAAAATACAAAAGAGAAGCGTAACCGCTGCCACGGTGTAACCAATGACAGATGACACAGCTCTCAAGCTGTCTCCGGCATCCCACCGAATGACAAGTTTGACAGAGAATGTCTGTTGCTTGCAGGGCTTGATCCATGTTCTAAAGGGGGAGAGGCGGGGAAGGGAGAGAGAGATACCCTGAAACTACTATTTCCAGGAAGTTTAACTAGTGATAACTGCAAACAGGCATTGCTGTAAACAAACCAATACAGACAACGTTATCATTGCGGGCATCACTGTTCCCTCATTCTTCTTCGGTTGTCCCCCCCCCCCCCCCCGTGCCGTCTTCTCCTACAAACGCAGCATGCTCAAGGGAGAGGCAGTGCTTGGCTTTCTGTCAGAGCTAGCAAACAAACAAACAAACGTGTGTGTGTGTGCGCGTGCACCTGCGCACACACATATACACACCCATAAAGCAGGGAAAGGAATCCCACACAGAGACTGGCAGTAGACAGGGGAGAAGGAAAAAAAAATGTATATTTCACTTTCCCACTGCTGCTGCAAAGCATTGCGTGGATTATAGGATAATTGGATGCCCCACTGAGTTCAAGTAACACTATCAAATTATCATCAGTTGGAACATAGATGTGCTGCAGACTTAAACTGGTTTAATAGGCAGTCCCTCTCCCCCGGGGGGTCCCTGGGGAGTGTAATTCTGTAAGAAATGCAGAGGGCTGCTAAAACACATTCTGAGCACCCCCACCAGATCAGGGAGACCAAGGGAATTTCCTGCACTAGGAGGGATAATTGTGCTCTGCCTGCCCTTAGAGTGGGGAATGATGCCAGGCCCCATGGCTATACCAAAGTAGGAGCAGAGGAAACTGCCCTATACTGAGAGAAACCATTATGGCTCCTTATTGTCTACACCAAAGATGGGGAACCTGTAGACCTCCAGAAGCTGTCAGACTTCAACCCCCATCAGCCCTAGTCAGCATGGTCAATGATAAAGGATGATGGGGGATGTGGTTCAGCAACATCTGACAGTGGCACTCCAGGGTCTGAGACTGGAAGTCTTCCCTAACCCTATGTGGACATGCTGTGGATTGAATCTGGGACCATCTACATGCAAAGCAGATGATCTACCACTGAGCTACGACCCTTCCCCACTGAGCTCTGGGTCTACTGTGACAGCCCCATGCATGCTGCAATATGCATTGTTACATCAAAGTAAAAAGCTCATGTTTCAACACAGCATGATTATTAAACTTGTAGAATTATGTGGTGTAGATAATATAGAATGCCTTCAAAATCTCTCTCTCTGTCTCTCAACTACCAACTGCTCAGACAATATAAATAAATAAATGACTCAGCTGTACAACTATAGACTCATCAAGTTGGGATGCAATCCAATACATAAATTGTAAACAGCACTAGAAGCATTAGAAAGGCCCCAAAGATCTACCGCCAGTACTTAACAATTCCCTTCACAGAACATTAATCATGAAAAATTTACAGCAAACTTGCTTTTTTTAAAAAAAAATAACCTTACTATGCTAACAGGCTAAAAGTGGAATAATACAAGGGGAGAAAAGATGGATATAAAATGCATGTTCACCTCTCATTATCAAAAACTCTACATGCCTTTGATGATTATCACTTATAAGAGTCAAAGTTCAGAAAAAGCTATGTGACATAGCTCTTCTGGAAACTTTCTTCAGAAAGTAAATCAAGTGTCAAACATCCCCCTTTAAACAACAAACAAACAAACAAACAAACAGACAGACAGACAAACAATTCCTTGCACCCAGAAGACTAAACTGACAGGGAGGCTCCTGGGCAACAGCTTATGTCCTTTACATACTTGCTTTCCACATGCAATTTTTTTTCTGTTACTCAGAAAGAAAGACAACTTTAGCAAGTGTCCAGAAGAAGGGCATTCAATTATGTGGAGGAATCCATTTTGCGGGTCAGCACCATCGGTGAATGGCGGAGTTCCTCCGTCTGGAGGAACGGGCTCCGTGGAAACTGGGTCTTCCCGCCCCGGCGAAGGTGGGGACCTGCTAGAAATCCCAGGCGGAGGAAGCCTGGGAACGGGGGGTTTGGCAGGGCACCAGGAGCGCCCCCCTACTCGCAGGGAATCCCATTTAGGGGCTCCGGAGCGAAGTGGGGTGAGAAGCGCAGTGCTGCGAACTGACTGCTACTTTCACGGAGTGAAGCCGCACAGCCATTGCTGGAGAGTGCTGACGTTTTCCTGTGGACAATTGGATTTAAAACAAGTACCCGTGAGTAGAAACGGAAAATTGGATCAAGAAATTTCTTAATTTGGTATCGAAGCGGAAGGTTCAAAACAGGAAGTCTGCCTTCCGCTTTTTGTATATAGACTAAAGCAAAAACTTTGTAAGCTAAAGCCTGGAAAGCTGTCAAAAAAGTCTAAATTTCCTTCATTCAGAATTACTGAAACCCCCTTGGAAGTAGGAGAAAGGGGGGGAACTTTGTTCAACCCTAGCAGGAGAGGGAGTGAAGAAGGATAAGTTTCCACCGTCTCTAACCTGGGAACGGGGTGTCAGAGACAGAAATTGTTGGAGAGGTGCATTGACTGTGAATGGAATATTTTGACAGATAGCTAAAGAAGAGAAACAAGCTGATTCCAATGTTACCTTTTGCATCTTAAAGAAACAAAATATCTGAAAAATATCTGAAAAACGAAAGTAATTTTCCTTTGTTGGATACAAATAGATACAAAAAGGATACAAATAGAAATTGCCTCCTCTAGAGGGAGCTTGTCAAATTGTTGCTGCAGTACATTTGAGGGCTCAACAGATGTGATATTAAGACCGTGGGAACAGGCTTTTCTGACCTTGACTAAAGATGAGCTGGGAGGAGGACTGGGTGCTTGCCTTATGCAAGACAAGTGCCTTGCTGGAACAGATGCATGAGAAGATGGACTTGATGAATGAGAAAATGAATTTGACTGTTGTGGTTAATAACTGTGGGCAAACAGGGAATATGGATACAGAAATTATTCAGGGTCCAACTCATGAATCTGTACTGACTGGGCAAGTGCAGAAGATAATGGAGGAGGATGCGGTTGCACCCCAAATAATACAGATGGAGAGTCCCGAGGTCCTACAGGAGCATGAGCCGCTGTCATTGAAGATTAAAGTTGGAGTGGGCCAGGGGGAGTCTGGAGCTGAGGAGGTTCCTAATGTTGGAGAGACCTTGGAATATGCTTTTAAATACTTTTTGGACTATATCGAGGACTGTGGGGAGTGGGACTGTGGGGAATGGGCGGGCTTGATGAAGGAAGATGGAGACAATTTTGGCTTGGAATCCCCCAGAGGCCTACCCCTCAATGAGAAAGGAAATAAACTAAGAAAGAGACCAACAAAAGACAAGGAAAAGGGCAAGTATAAACAAGAAGAAGAAGAATTGCAGAAGGGACATGGAAGAGACTTAAGGGCCTCGGACATAAGGCTTCCAGGTTGATGGACTAGATGGAATGGACAGTAAGGACTGACACGATCCGAGACCAGGAAGAAGGGACGTTGGATGAAGATTGGAAATTTTTTTATAAAGAAAACTTTCTATTTAGGGAATTGGCTAAAAATTAATGAACATTAGGGAAAATGTTGGAATGAAACTACATGACTTTAGCAGAAATGATATCAGGAGTAATGTATATTTGATAACCAAGATTCAAGCTTTAAGGTATTTTAGGGTAAGATAAGGTTAAATAAATTATATAATTTGAATAATAGAATATGGGGAAAGATGGGAAGGATTTGTTGAGCTAATTATTAGTTATGAGTGCCTGGAGGCGGTTGGAGGTTGGATGGCGGCTAACAGATTGAGGTTGAATCCTGACAAGACAGAAGTACTGTTTTTGGGGGACAGGAGGCGGGCAGGTGTGGAGGATTCCCTGGTCCTGAATGGGGTAACTGTGCCCCTGAAGGACCAGGTGCACAGCCTGGGAGTCATTTTGGACTCACAGCTGTCCATGGAGGCACAGGTCAAATCTGTGTCCAGGGCAGCTGTTTACCAGCTCCATCTGGTACGCAGGCTGAGACCCTATCTGCCTGCGGACTGCCTCGCCAGAGTGGTGCACGCTCTGGTTATCTCCTGCTTGGATTACTGCAATGCGCTCTACGTGGGGCTACCTTTGAAGGTGACCCGGAAACTACAACTAATCCAGAACGCGGCAGCTAGACTGGTGACTGGGAGCGGCCGCAGAGACCACATAACACCGGTCTTGAAAGACCTACATTGGCTCCCAGTACGTTTCCGAGCACAATTCAAAGTGTTGGTGCTGACCTTTAAAGCCCTAAACGGCCTTGGTCCAGTATATCTGAAGGAGCATCTCCACCCCCATCGTTCTACCCGGACACTGAGGTCCAGCACCGAGGGCCTTCTGGCGGTTCCCTCACTGCGAGAAGCCAAGTTACAGGGAACCAGGCAGAGGGCCTTCTCGGTAGTGGCGCCTTCCCTGTGGAACACCCTCCCACCAGATGTCAAAAACAACAACTACCAGGCTTTTAGAAGACATCTGAAGGCAGCCCTGTTTCGGGAAGCTTTTAATGTTTGATGTATTATAGTATTTTAATATTCTTTTGGAAGCCGCCCAGAGTGGCCGGGGAAGCCACAACCATATGTCAGGAGTGCTCTGATGGTGTTTCCTGCTTGGCAGGGGGTTGGACTCGATGGCCCTTGTGGTCTCTTCCAACTCTATGATTCTATGATTCTATGATTCTATGATTCTATGATTCTATGATTCTAAGCCCAGCCAGATGGGCGGGGTATAAATAATAAATTATTATTATTATTATTATTATTATTATTATTATTATTTAATTAGGTTAGGATAAATTTTTTAACAAAAATTGAGAAAGATGGAAAGAAATTGCTGAAATAACTAATTAAACTAGAATACAAAAAGGGAGGTGTGAGGAAGTCAAAGAAACAAGCAAATGGAAGTTTTAGATATGTAATTTGGGATCTATGTTGTTTTCTTTTTTCTTTTTATCTTTTTGTTGTATTGTTGTATTGGTTTTTGTTTTTTTTTGTTTTTCTTTTTATGTATTATAGTGTTGTTTTTTAATGTCTTTTTTTTCTTCTTCTTATAATTCTGAAACTACTAATAAATATTATTATTTTTTAAAAAAGGAATCCATTTTGCGTTCAAAAATGTTTTGATATGTGCATAGATGCCAACCTCTTAGCAAGTCTTTGGGAAGATGACCTCTTCAATATGGATGCTTGGGGTACATATTATTTGCGAATTCGACATTAGCTTACCTGAGCTACACCTTCAGGACTAAGATGTGGATGAGAATGTGGTTATCCTTTGGGATTCACACTTCACCACATTTTGCAATACAGTTCTTGACTAATAATCTTCATGGAGATGGTCTGTCTACTGTCTACACAAGCTTCTCTCTTCTCATCAAAACCATGTGCTAACCAGCTTCTGTCTAACAGATGCAGAGGTTCAGTTATGGCTAGATACAAAGTGGGATGGAGTGGGAGCTTTGTAATAAATGCTGGAGGAGGGCTGGCACTCTATTCTACAGATTCTTTTTCTTACTGTACCAAACTCTGTCCTGGAACCTCAACAAAAGGAAACCCTATCAGCATTCCACCTCCCTTTCCCACACAGCCACCATGAAAGAGAGGGGCAACTGTATGAGTGTTTATTTATTTACTCATTTATTTTATTAAAAAAACCAAAAACCCTTTATGCTGTTTAACTACAAGAGTAACTAAGTGGGTCACTAAAATACAATACAAATAATAAAAATAAATAAAAACTACAAAACCAGACTTTGCTTCAACCTCTGAACTTCACCCAAAGAGAACTTTGACCTATTTTTTTTCTCCCCTTTGATAATTCTCGAGTGCAATGGGTCTACTCTGACTGAGGCTAAACCCATAGGTTTACAAACTCACAGTCACTACTCCCTCTTGTCTGTAACGGCACTGAACTCTTTCTTCATATGCTTTATTGCATTTCATGATAACCCTTGCATTCCAATGGAATAATCTCATTCTGTCCCTAAATGAACACACACACACACACACACACACACACACACAAAGGCATCTCAGTATTCAAAGGGCCCAAATGTGTAATCTATCTGCTGCTTGGATAATTCGTCCAGAGTG